TGTTCATTGCACTGCATTATTGTTAACATCTATAATATTCTAAGGAGCCAGGTGTCAATTTATTTTTTTTAAATTCAGAACTATTTTAATTTAAAGGCAAAGCTTAGCAGCTACTTTTCAAATGACCTAGTCCGGTCACATATATATGTGTATGTCACCCAAAAGTGGCATCTACAAACTAAAACTATACTGTCCAAATATTCTATGCAGTCACACATTCCAGTGTTCCACAACTGCCTATTCAATCAGAAACCAGAAGCAGAAGTCGACAAAGAGGCGTTCCTCACTGTTCTGGAGATTAGGCTGTTTGTCCATGAATTAATGCTCCCTCACCAAACACACTGGGGAAGGGATTTAGGGAGAAGTGATTGAGGGATCACAGCAGCAAATGGAAAGGCAGCAATGGGCAAAAAAGGAGCCAATCCTCCTTCAAAGGAGAGCATCACTGCTTTAACGGATATAAACCCCAATATTGTCTGAAATACAAGTACAAGTATTTTTGCTTGTATCTTCACAACCAAAAACACAACGAACAAAGCATGTTTGTATTTAAATCTTGCGCAAATTACACTGAGCTATATCTGGCAATAATCGACTTTACCTTTTCTGACCTACATGGTAAAGTAAAGGAACTAAGCACAAAGTAGGACCAGAGATGGGAGTTATTTTTGTTTGTTTTTAGATAAACTGAAACATTGCACTGCTTACTGCTCCAGATATGCACAACAAATCTGTCACTAAAGAGCTGTCAGCTCCTCGTCAATGTCATCTCTTGTCAAATGACGATCTTGTCAAGTGTCAGTTTGCACTAACTCAGGTGTTTCCTCTCCTTTACGTGATATTCTGAAAAGTTTTTTGACTGTGGCCCTGATTTGACTGAGGGCAAACTAATCAGAACACAAAACAAAAGTTCCCCCTTTTTACAATTCACTCTCTTGAAAATTGTTAAGAAGTTATGTCAGAAGATAACAATAACAAACTGTAGTACCCATCCACCACAGAAATCCACCAGTGGACTTTAAACATGAGTTTCTTCACCACCTTGTTGTGACCTTGTTGCTCAATAATAAATAGGTTTGCCTATGTTACTTTTTTTCATTATTCTTTTTACAAAGCGTTCACCCAACGATGGGAATCCATCGTCTATCGATTAAGATGAGTGACAGATCAGGGAATTTGCAGTCAACAGATATTCTTTCATGTCCGCTGTCTCTGTAAATCACTCCACACTCCATCAGACACGCTGGATTGGGTTTGGGGCTGCCATGTAGAATTTACGTAATTGAATTTTTATTTATTTATTTATTTTTGTAATGCGATTCAGAGGGTTTTTAAATTTCAAAACTAAGTCTTAAATTTCAACACTCCTAGGTGTTTGATTTTTAGGTTTGAATCACAGGGGGTGGTGGTAATAATTTGTTATATTTTTATTCTGATGCACTATTTTTTTTTCTTCATAAAAAAAATCTAAATATTCTAAATATGTTGCTCAAAGGCTAGGAGTCCTGCTCATTATGCAGCACGCCAATCTCTTATTAAGCGGGTTGAATGTTTGTTGGCCGTTAAATAGAGTCTATGGCTGCTTATCAGAAAAAATGCACGTTATCACGTCAATGCATTGCTGTAAGTGCATCTCCTAACCTCGCCATCTGCAAACCACTGACACACTGAGAAACACATCTATAATTATGTTGGTATTATGCTGCCTGGTGACAACACATCCAACTGGACTTACTCATCCAGCAGTCGAGTGTTGCTTAAGTGCAGATGTTACACTGAAGGCATACAATTTCAAGCCAATCTCATAGGAGATTTAAAATAGAGATGGCATCCTTGACTTCCATTACTGTGTCAAGGTCCATGCCCCATACAGTGGGCTAAAAACAGACCATCACTCCACTCCGTGCCATTCTTAACATGTTGTGTGTCCTGGGCAGACAACAGCACGAAATGGCTGGTTGGTGTGGCAGCAGTGGCCCAGCACACTGCCATAACTGGCTTTGTGGCTGTTATCTGAGTTCTACGCCTCTGACAGAATGAAGTCAACTTCTGCTAACGCTCCCCATAGTTGAGCTGTAGCCACTCATGCTCTGCTGCAGACGTTGAGTGATGCGAGGGTATTTATGCCAAACATGACATCTCAGTAAATTCCTCCCACACTGCTCAGAGCTCCAAAATAGACGTGTTAGAACTGACAAAAGCTGTGGGCAAGCCCTGCATTGTCTCGGCATGACCTTAGTAAATGAATGGAAGGGGAAGAGTGGGGCAGGCTGACAGCTTCTGCGTCTGTTACTTTAAGTAAAACATCCAGGGTTATTTGGGGTAAAGGACAATTTTGGAATTGATTTAAGAAAAAGTCCTAAAACTGGTAGCTGAGATGAATTCTGTTTGCTGCATTTTTTCTGTTAATTTTTTTTTGTGTGTGTGCATTTCATGAAATCCCAAAACTTTAAAAGGTGTGCCTATGACCTCAGCAACATTGACTTTGTTCTGATGAAGGCCATTTTACTGTCATTAAAAGGTGGTTTTCAGTAGACAAGTCATTGAAATATGGCTTGCAACAGCTGACATGTCTGTCTGGAAATGCACCACTCGCCTCATCTTGTTTTTTAAATAATTTCGTTAGAAAAAGAGCAGCCCACACTGGGGTCACTTTCAACAAGCTGCTGGTCTGAAGAGGGTCCAATTAAATCCTACATATTCTGACCCAGGAGCCACCGCGTAATGAAATCTGAGAGCCACTGCTGGATAGACTGAGCTGGAACGGAAAGAGAGCGAGTGACTGGCAGTCCTTATCCAGCTTTCACACTTACATAGTTACATGCTTGCGAAATGCATTATGCACTCATGCACATCCAAACTGAAAAAAAAAAAAATGCCAAAGCTATCTACCAAGGACGCTGCTGTAAATAATATGCCTGTATTTAACTTGGTTGGTTAAGCATAAAGACGGAAAGCGAGAGAAGTGAGACCAAGGTTCTCTCACAAACAGGAGGCCAGGATACAATTCAGAGACGGGAAGTCACAATGTCAAGATTCATAATCCCTGGGACATTTCAGTTATCAATCTCCAGTAAATGTCAGGCAGGGGAAATGCCCTCATGAATGATGGATATCTGACATGTTTGTGATTTTTTCCCATTTTCTTTTATTGAGTGAGAACCACCGAGGGCTCCGAGGTCTATAGCAGGAGGTAATACCTACTTACGGAGGCTGAAACGCATGAATCCCATTTACCCAAACGGAGGTGCAGTAGTGAGTGCATTTTGGTTTACTGGTTTACTGGTTTTTTTAGTTGGTTTGTTTTCAAAGGAGTAACTATTTGACTGTTTCCTAAAGGAGCTGAAGACAAAACAGATCCCCACCCTGTCTTTAACATGGTCAACGATGTATAACCTTCACACTTTGTCTATTTTTATCATGCGTGGGTTTCTTTTTGTTTATATGTTTTTGTTTTTCCTTAAAGAATACTACTGTTTTTTATTGTTTTATTATATCTATGCAGATGTAGTCTTTCCTATAAAGGTCAATGAAGGATATTATCTTCTGGATACACTGGTCATGGTACTTTAACCCTGAGTACAAACTGATAATTTTTTTTTTTAAAGAAATCAATAACAATTTATAATGGGTGATTATAGTACACCTCTTCCATATTTGGATTACTCAGAGCTAATAGAGATGACCCCAACATTAACCAAATCAGAGGTCTTCAATAGGTGATCAGGGGCCACTTACGTAGATTTTACATAAAGCTATATATTAAGCTATACATTTATTGTTTGAATTGTTTAGATGTGAATACCTTAACTAAGATTAAGTGGAATATGACAACTTATATTTAGACCTGGGTGAAGTTTCAGTGTGAAATAAATTAAAAAAAAAAAAAATATTGTAGGGAGTACCTGCTCCATCTGTCCACAGTTTAGGGGCTCTTGTTCTGGAAAATGAGTGAGTAAGACCCCCGAGCTACTGTACATTCTTTTTCTTTAGTAGTAATTCGGTAGTCACATTGCTGCCAACTCCAGGGTCAGTTTTCTCACATTGCTGCCAACTCCAGGGTCAGTCCTTTCAAACTAGGTTTCATTTGATACATCCAGATGCAAATCAAATGAGGACAAATAAAGAAAAACACAAAGTAGAGAGCATCATTACTGCCTATACACATAATGTTAAAGACCAAGTTTTAATCCACTTAAATAAGTGGATGGTTTTTGTAGGACTATTTTTTATTTTTAGTCTGTGTAAATTCCCTAAACCTCCACTTTGACAGAAGCAGACCACTATCAACTCTATACACAAGTGTCATACACGATGTGAATGGATGGGGTTACAGTAGTACTCTGCTGGACATCCCAGCCACTCTCCACCTCTCTGCAGGAGCATCTCGGAGATCTACCAGGATTATTACGCACAGGCTTCCAGCTCGGATGGCATCCAGAGGAAATCACACGGCCACCGAGTCGCCGCTGCTAAGTGTCACACTTGACTGTTGACCCCCAACTCTCCCTCTTCTCCAGGGAAACGAGCTGCGTGATTTTCTAAGAACCAATTAATTATTTTTTTTAAATTGGCTTCTACATTTGCATTAACAACCACATTAGCAGCGCCATCAACATGTATCTGTTTATCCACGCCGCTTGTTTGGAGTGGAAAGTTTAATTTCCTGGAGATGCTCGACTAATTAATTAGTATTCATTAATCAACTGTGGGGTTGGACGCCCCCAACAGCTCGGTTTATAAAGACGTCTCCAACTAATATGTGCATATTGCAAGCAAATAAAAATTTTAACGAGTGAGATGCGCTCTCCTCCAGCATCAGTTCAGTTGAGGTGAGGTGAAGGTGCACAAGTGGGTGAAATGTGTGAAGACCTGCAATAAAGCTAGAGCCCAAGTGTGGGGTAAATAAGGCTGTAAGCCAATAAAATAAGATGAATACTGAACATAGCTGTTATGGAATCGACACTAGTGGGCATTTGTGGACCTGATGTCGCCTGTACCTTGAGCTTGCGTGAAGTGGATGAGGAAGGGGAGAAATAAAATCCATGTGGCGCGCCACATCGATCTGTTCCAAGGGTCCAGCATGGTTCCAAACCCGTGCACGGCGGACAACAAGTGTCCGATCAGCCCGTGTCCTGCTCCGGCGTCCCGAGCTCCGGTTCCCCTGGCGAGTGTCTCCCGGTGGGTCTCTGTGTTTGGACACGAGTCACTAGAGCCGCTCAAGACGGGCAGAGGGCACCGACCTGCGAGCGCTGGGATGAGGTGAAACGAATATGATTATAACAGCCTTCTCTATTCAAGCGTGTGTCTAAAGAGCGCAGTTCAGATTCGCTCCGCATCCACGCGCGTTGCAAGACACATCCCCCAGTAAGTGTGAAAGCAGTCTGAATGGGAATCTCGGGTTAAGTCACTGACACAAATCTAGCAGAAGTTCAAACACAGCCCTCTCATCCGCGGTTGTAAGAAGATGGGCTGCTCCGTGTACTTTCTCTCATCCTCACTTCGTGCGTCCTTGAGATGCTCTACTGGTCCTCCGCTCTCCTCCGCATAACTTCAGCCTCATTAGTCACAGACTCCCCCACTTACAGCGAACACACTTTCTTCTCTGTCTTTACTGTTCTAAAAGAGAGAGAGAGAAATGCGCACAGACATCCACACGCCGGTAAAGTTACTCCACACAGCAGCGCGCACAGCCAAGGTCGGCGCTTTAGTTTGTCAGAAGCACTGGCAGGAAGTTGAACCGTCCAAGGAGGAGAGAGTACAAACTCGCATGCAGCCCCACAGTCACGGCCACTGCCACAGCCTGTGGAAGAGGAGGAGGAGTAGCAGGAGGAGGAGAGACCGGCTGCCGGTGTGCGTCGGGTCTGCGCGAGTCGTGAGTTCTTTATGAGGAAACGTTTGGCTTTGATGTTGGAGCAGGCGCAGCACATGTTGCCACCATGCGGTTGAGCACAAAAGCGCAGCCTCAATTATCATATAAGCCGACCACGGAATAACCAGTTAAGAATTCGTGAAGCATTTTACAACAGAAAAAAAAATGGAATGATAATTGCCCTTTGATTTAAACATCACGCATTGTGCTTGTTTTGCAAGGTTTGGTGAAAGGATGCTGAAAAATGAGGTGCTGAGTCTGAGGAGAAATTACTGTAATTGCTTCATCTGTTGAAATTTATAAAGTGTCTAGAGTTTCTTGACCTTGTGGTGCGTTTCATCCCCAGTGACATCATTAAAAGGAATTGCATTTTTGGCTGCATTTTAATACTTTTAGGAACGATACACTCCAGGGCTTTCTCAGTCAAGGCTGTGGTTCGTAGTTCTTGTGCACAAGAGAATATGGGGAATATATGAAAGTAGCAAAGTCTTTGTATTGCATGAGTGAAACTGCTCCACAATATTCTGAAAGAAAGAGGAGGCAAGAAAGAAGAGGAGGTAGAAAGAGGATGACCAGAGGTTAGAGGGATGGAGAAGAGGAAGTAGTAGGTGCAAAGGAGGTGCAGAGGGCAGAAAGTGACTGAGCAAATATTGTTTTCTAAAATAACAGTCTGTAATGTAGAGAGGACGTGAGGGAACAAGAAAGCATGACTGAGCAAATGTCCCCGTCTTCTCAAACAACAGTGCTGTGCAAGAAAGAAGAAAGAAGAAAAAAGCCAGGGTGTCTTAATGTTTGCAATGCTTCTGAGTGAATGGAAACGCCTTTCCAAACCACCACAGGGCAGAAAGAAAGTAATGCACCATGGTAATAGCTTTTGTGTTTTCTCAGCATGGATTTCAGCTTCCTGTTGGCTTTTTCCTTTATTTACAAAAATGTGTAATACCTTGAACAAAACTTTATATTAAGACAGATAACAGTAGGTAAACCAACAGGCCACGGTTGCACTGCTCAGGGACCTGATTATGATTTTTCATTGCTTAGTGGGACTCAGCAAGAGGGTAATTTATTGAATCCCTGGACACAGTAGTACAAGCCATGCCGCTCTGAACACAAAGGAACAAAGCTGTTTGTTTTGTGTTCTGTGTCCCCTTCAGATGCCAGTGCTGCCAGGTGTTAACTCTTGCTGGAATTGAGCAGAGCTGTGTTCACAGGTGCTACAGCAGCTTTCTACAAGCTACATTCACTTCAGTCTGAGATGCTCCATTTCGCCGAGAATTAACCACATAGAGGGTGATAATAAATCTGAGTTATTTGCAGTGCAGTCACACTTATTACTTAATTAATATTCTTTTCAGTATAATTAGTATGCAGTACGTCTGACATTTGAATATTCTTTTCAGTATAATTAGTATGCGGTACGTCTGACATTTGCCATAACTGAATCTAATTTCACAAGACAAAGTTTAACTGGGGCAAAAATGCCAAAGAGTCTTTAGCAGAGTGTGGGTACATTATTTTCCCTACCTCAAAATACCTCAATGGTAATGATATCAGTTAGCTCTATTCAGTCCATTCATTTCTCCTACAATAGCAGACCTAAGATAAAACGTGCAAATTTATTTCCACCGAAGAAAGAGTGCAAATAAATGGGTTTGATGAGAAGCTATAAATAACAATAGCATGGTTTGAAGTTGACTAGCAGACTTTAATTTTACACCATTTAGGGCAAAGTGGATAAAATGTTAAAAAAAACATAGGTAATTATTCTTATCCACATGATTTAACATCATTTAAACAAATTAATTAAACCTGTTAGTACCTATTTTTACAGCATCAGCCTGAGTTTGAATGTTTCAAAGAAAATGTGTCTAAAGTTCCATTACTGCCATCACCATGGCCATCGAGTCCATACTCTATTGCCTGTGCACCTAGAAATCTTACTTCCATCCATCCATTTTCAGCCTTTTATCCGTTACCGGGTCACGGGGCAGCAGTCCCCACCCAAATCACACTGCACCGCACCAACCCCCCTGAACCTTTCTGTGGGTGGTGAGTCCAAGCTACCAACCGCCCTAACAGGGATTCGATCTTGCCAAGGAGGTGAACCCCGGGGTTCCACACCAATGACAGAGACATTGCCTTTGGGCGCTACAGAATTCTTACTTTCAAAACCCAAAGAGAACCAGAAACAAAAAACTGATAGATGGCAAAATTACTGAGAAAAAACCCCCAGCATCAAGTACTGTACAAACTGAGCCAAGATCATTTCTGGGTCACTGATGTTAGGATTTAGATCCAAATCCACAATACAAGCAGCCTACAAAGGAAAACATTACTGAGCAGAAGAAATGTGTAGGCTGACCATATGAAAAGTAAGGTCAGAAATCAAAAAGAAAAATCTGCCTCAAGGCCACTCATTAGTGTCTGCAGAGAGCATCATCTCTGCACATACAGTTGTGCATCACCACACTGATGCACAACTGACCCCAAAAACAACAGTGGGGCAATACTAAGTGTGTCATGCTCCAGTAATAATATATCACAGTTCAGCGCAGTTATGATTCCCCTGAACATGTAGGGACCAGGGAGATGATGCATGTCTTTGATTTCAAGAGGAGCTTGTGACTGTTCATTAAACTCACACTATTAGCATGCCTCTGTCAATTAGCCTCTGTTTAAGGGGCAACATCAAAGAAACATGGATCTTTTTAACCAAAATGAATGTGCCTTCCTCTTTTGCACCACTGACCGTCTTCACTGGTGGTTTAATGAATTGGAACGGGCAGGAGATAATGGGAATGGAGGCTTGCTAGGAGGCTGGTGGGGTGATGAGTGTTGCTTGTTACCTCCAAGACCAATTACAGTAAAGATATGTCATATTTTCTGTCTGACAGTGAAATAATCGTGATCTCTTATTAGACTCTATGGGCCCTCTGAGCTATCCTAACTCTCTGAAAACAATAACACCTCACAAAGTATAGTAGTGCTATATCAGGGTTAATATGTCAATTAAAATGAGATTTAAGAGTATAATTAAGAATTAAGAGTATAATTCGTAGTAAATTGATACAATTGTTATTCTCTGTACTGTCCGGTTTAAACAAGAGCATTGATATCTACAATACAGTGCTGCTGCGTGTTGTTCACAACAGGATTATTAACAGGCTTATGGTCACCCACACTAAGTATGGTCAAGTAAATTGTCTAGGTCAGTGCTACAGGACTTTAGGTTGCCAAGTAAAGTTTCAAAATTCTGTTTAGTGTTGAGAAAATTGCCTGAACATCAATTTAAAGACCCTTGGTAACCTTTGGTTTCTGCACTGCTGAGCCCCTAGAGTAGTAAAGAACTGACCTGTACTGTAGTTCTGTAGTTCCAGACTTCTGCTTGTCGTTGACCTCCACTGTTCAACAGGTTGGACTGCCGGAATTCACGTAGAGTTGGCTACACTGCCAGTCAGTCTGAAGCTGGGATCCTAAATTCAGCTGTAACACAAAGCAGGGGGGCTGTTATCCTCACACTTGGCCAAAAGGTCAGGGCAGTCCTACAGCTTTATGTCCAGGTCAATTAGAGCTGGCCACTGCTTAGAATTTACTGTATGTTTAAATAACGCAGAGGGTACCTGAGCACAGTGATGTCACAGGCTTGATTCGACTAACAACTACACTTAGCATATGTCGACTGTTAGCACATCACCTTTTGAAATATGCTTCTTTGCAGTCATGGTAATAGCAGGAGGTATAGTTTTATCAGTTTTAGTCACTTTTAATTGTTTATGAAAAATGTTAGACAATTTTCTTCTTTTCCTTTTAAAAGGTCCTTTTTGAAATTTCTTGCAGCAATCCATCTCTTTAAATTTGATGAATCAGGATGTTGTTTTTCTTCCTTTTGTATATGCCAAAATGCCTATAAGTTGTTTCCATATATTAAACCATTTATCAGGATTTAATTTGTTCAGAAAACCTATAAACATTTGAGCAGATGAAAAAAATAGGAGAAATGTATCAAAGGGGGAGATGGATCGCTCAGAAAAGGAGGGAGAAAAACGGACAACATTTGTGTAAGTGAGACAGATGGTCACAACTAAAAAGAAAAGTCTTTAGCAGGACTGCTCCTACCTTGGCAAAGGATCACTTAAAGCATATACATACAATATAAAATGGAGAGAGTAGATAAGTGGGTAAAAAACTATTTTTGACATAAGCACAATAAATAAGAGGGCAGTGGTGGAGCAGTGAAAATATATCTGTCTGTGTGATTGTAGCTGCGTTTGTCCATCTGATTTGCATTTGAAAAAAAAATCAATTTCACCGACCCCCACTTCAGAAAACCCATTCGCCAAACATACTTAAGTTAGAATGCTCAACTGTATTTTATGAAGCGAAGGGCTGTAGCATAAACAAGGAGTCCCAGAGCATTGATTGCATCTGACTGCATTGCTCTTCACATGTGCAGCCCGCTCCGTTTGCAACACATTCAAGTGTTTGCAAAATAAATCATAAAGCTGCAGACAACATCCCAATTTTGTTTTAGGGCCAGTTCCACCATTTTTACATCGTTTTCCTGTGTTCAAAATAAATGTGTTTAAAATAAATAAATCAGGTAACTATTAAATGTTATTGGAGTACTTTTTTATGTAAATGAAATCACATTGGAACTTTTTCACTCAGTTTTATTCACCTCCAATTTGCTTATTTTCATGGATTGGAGATTTTTTTTGTTTTTGGTTTTTTTTTTTTTTTTTTTTTTTGCATTGCGAAGATTGGACAATGCCTTTCAGCCCAAGGAATAAATGTTTGAGTTTAACACTTGACAAAGACAAAGACATACATTTTATCATGAAACAGGGCATACTCAAAAATCCAGAAACTGGACACTCTGGAACGATGGGCTGGATGGTTGCTCTGTGCACAGCTGTAGAAATGTACGTACGCCAGATCTGGAGCTGTCTTAAGGCCCCCACATTTCTACGCTTATTTCAGTTTTGATACATATAAATATGAGCATGGAGAAACGCTAAGCAACTTTTGTGTGTACGCGAGGTTTGTACGAGGCCCCAGATTTAAATAACAGTGACAATGGCTGCCTTGCTCCCCATCGGTATCAACAATTAATTGGAAATGAGAGAAAAAAAGAATGTATTGATCTTCACCATGAACCAGGGCATTAGAAATGTAAATGCACATGTTGCAACACAAGGTGAAGAAATCTACCTTCTCTGACCCTGACTCAAGGTTAAAAAGGCTGGCTATTAAGATAATTCAAAATCAATGGAAACGTTACAGGATAATAGACTAGTCTCTACTTTGCATTGCAAAATTTGGCATTGAATGTATTGAACTAGCTCTATTAGAATTGCATGCGCAAATGTTTGCAACACCAAAGGGAGTGCATTGCCTTTCACACATTTATATCACACAATTGCTTAACAAAGTTAAAAAGCAAAACAGCACTGGCTGCA